AAAAAAAAATATTTTTATAAAAAATACAGCCAATTTTATAAGTAATGTAAAAAGTTTACATTTAACATATAAAAATTCTAAAATAAATACAAAAAATAAATTAATAAAAAAAGAATTACCCTCAAGAGCAGGTGACACTCTGCCTACAGAAAAAGTCGGTATAGACTCTTTACTTAGAAGTGTAAGTAATTTCAATCTAACAAATTCAGTGCCGTCAGACTTAAGAAGAGAAAAAAATCTCTACAAATATCTGACTTCCCTAAGTGAAATAAATACTGCAGTAGCCAAATCTCAAATTATGGATTATAATTTTAATAAAAATAACAATATTAATAAATTAATTAGTGATGTAACTAGAATATTAGAATATTGTTTTCATTCTCTTTCTACTTTAATTAGTAGACCTATATTTAAAATAACACCAGATAAAGTAGTAATACAATTATTTTACTATGTTTTAAAAAATCGAAGAAATAAAAAATATTTAAATCTACAAAGAAGAAGAAGTAAATTAATAATAAGAAGATATAAAGGTATTTCAATAAGTAACAATGACAGAAAAATAAGATATTTAAGAAGAAATAGTGCCGGCCGGCAAAGAAATATGACAGTAGGAAAATTAAAAAATATGATGTGAAATACATATTTCACTAAATATTTTAAAAGCCACAGAATACATATGCAAATTTTATGTTCTATCTTAAGTAGAATTTTTAATAAACCAGTAGAATTAGAATTAATTCGACTATATCGGCCTTATTTTGATAGTAATATTTTAGTTAATACTATTGGCTTAATTAGTAATAAAATTAAATTTAGAAAAATTTTAAAAAAATTATTTAGAAAAGCTACAATTAGAAATAATAAAAAAACTAATAGTAATATTAATTTAAAAAAACCAACAAGAAGTAGATATAGCAACAGAATATCTCTATCTGGGACAGATTTATTACCTTCCTTCTTATCTGGAATACAAATAAGAGTAGCTGGTCGACTATTAACAAACAGAGTTATACCTCGAATGACAGTAAAAAATTATCAAAAAGGTAGATTAGCTAGAAGTAAAGCTACTTTAGTAGATACTTCTCGATTTACTAGAAAAAATAAGAGAGGTACATTTAGTATTACTGTTTCAACTGGTCATATTATACAATAATTGTAATTTAAATTTTTAATATTTAAATTATATTATAATTATAATTAAAATTGAAATTTAATTTTTAATTTTTATAAATTCCGTAATCCTCCCTGATTAATATAATTCAATATAATCTAATATAATACAATATAATACAATATAATACAATCTCACATAAGAGAGTATTTTAATCTTGATAGTAATATCTTATAAGTATTTTATACTTTAGTATATTTTTATTTTTTTTAATATTTTTACTATTTTTATAGTTATTCTTTTTATAATGAATTTATTTTAGTATTTTACCCTTTATTTTTATTATTATTATTTAAGTATTTTACTCTTTATTATTTTTGTATTATTATGATATTCTAATTTAAGTACTATACAAAATATACTTATAATATAAGTATTATTATATTAATTTTGTTAAATATAAAAATTACTTAGAATATATTAGATAATTATAAATATTATTAGAAAGCCTAACGGCAGCCTAACGGCAGCCTAACAGGAAGAAGAGATGCGGAGCTTCTTGCCTAGCTAATAGAAGCTTAACGGGGCCTTAACGGGCTCAGGGCTAGGTAGCCTCCCGGCTCCGGTAGAAAGAGGGTACTGGGTGCTGGCACTATAATTACTTTAATATGATTCTCATTATAGTATAAGATATTATATTAATTTATTTTTTACTATACGACTATAATTAAAATAGTATCATTAAGGTATTCTATACAATATATAAGTATATATATATTATATTATATTATATTATATTATATTGTAAAATATTGTATTATATTGTAATATTTTGTATTGTGTTATATTATATTGTATTCTATTGTATTATTTTGTATTATATTATAATACCTTATAACATATTATATTATATTAAATTAAATCATATTAAAATATACTATATGTTATTATATAAAATTATACTAAAATATACTTTATTATATAAAATTAAATTAGATTAAAATATACTATATAATATAAAATTAAATTTTATTAAAATATATTAAATAAGAAAGGTATTTATAGAAAAATATATATATAAAGTTATACTTATAAAGCAATAATATTAATATACTTATATTGAGATATAGATAGAAAAATATAAGTAAAGTATTATAATCTAAAAAATAAAGAAATAAATATATAAATATATATGTATATATCTCTTAATATACAAATAGTAATAAGAATAAAGTATTTATTTAGAGTAACTCTAAAAGAGTATAAATAATGATAATAATTACAATTTTATTACTTATCATGGCAATAGCCATACCTAATATCAGTCTACAATTGTCTCCAATTGTCTTAACTAGAATAA